GGAATGCAGAGGCATATAGAGCGTGAGGATCTTATGCTCCTAGCAGTAGAGCTCGAATTCAGTCGAGTGGTGGCTCTCGTGGCCGTCGAGGATCAATAACCGGTATTTGCCCTTTATACAAGGTGCTATATACAAGTCGAAGTGCTTGATCTAATCGAGGCCTATTGCATTAGTTGTCTAGCCGTTGTCGGTGGTTGCGATACACTAGTCGGCTGGGAGGTTATACTCTTGATACCAGTTGGCGAGGTAGTATTACACGGCTAAGATAATAAAGGGTGGGATAGCCCAGCTAAGGGCATTGACACCTTATATCACTATTGCCTACTTGCAGTTGCCAGGCTAGGCCAGCTTTGCCTTGCTACGGCCATCTAAGGTTGTAACTACTATACCCATGTAGATAATGCCTATTATAAACCCGGTCTCGTCGAAGTTATGGATATCGTCCTTTACAATACTATACTTGGCCTTAACGTTCTATATGAGAGCGAACCAATCGCTAATGACCTTTGGATCCTCGCACTTAGCTCTCTGGTAGTTATATCGACGCGTATAACGCGTACGAAGCTCTGGCTAGCGTTTGACAAAGTTATATACCCAGAGCTTGCCAACAGGGGGCGCATTGCATACGTATAGTAGTTGGTTGGCTATATCTTCTACACCACGCAACCTTGGTGGAAAGGCTCGTAAAGATAGTTCAATAATATATTGAACAATAGCCCGCTCTTCTGAATCTGTAAGCTGGCGCGATTTAGGTGTAGTGTCACGTCGTGCAGGCCTGCTGTCGCGTCGTCGCATAAGTGTTGCAGGGCTAACATTATAGACCTTTGCTGCAGCCCGAAGACTAAGAGTATAGTCCTTTTGAAGATCTTTAAGTGCAAGGACAATCCTTGCCTCATTAGAAGGTAAAGCCATAGTTCGTTATAGAAGGATTGAAGGTAAGGTGTAAAGGGTATGGGATGTGGTGGGGAGTGTTTCATTCGCTTATATGTTTCACTCGCTTATAACGTAGGTTATAGCGAAAGTTACATATATGCGAAAGTTACACTAAACCACACCAATGCGATATTTCACTTCTATACCTACTTCCTCTACAACCTAACATGCCTCAGAAAAATGACGAAAGCCAGATTATCTTGGCCCTTTAGGCTCTTGAGAATGATCCCAAATTAATTCTTAGAGCTATAGCTCGGATCTTTTCTATAAGCCCAATGAAGCTAAGCCGCCGTCGATACGGTTAGCAGTTACGACGTGATATTCAAGCCAACTCTCAGAAATTGACTAATTTAGAGGAATCTGTCATTATTTAATATATCCTCGACCTAGACACTAAAGGATTTCCTCTCCGCTTGTCTAGTATAGAAGATATAGCTAATTAACTATTTGCCAAATACAATATAGGACATATTAGAACGTGTTAGGCTTTAACCTTCGTTAAACGGCACTTAGAGCTTATTATATATTTTAATCGGAAATACGACTATTAAAGGGCCTAATATAAAGATCTAGAGATTATTTATAGTTAGTTTATACTTATATAGAATATAATCGTAAAGTATAGTATCTAGGAGGTAGATATCTATAACTTTGATAAGACCAGGTTTTAAATAGGCGTTATCTCGACTATAATAGTTATTATAAGCTCTAAATATATATATTCTCCTACTCTGCTATGCCTCGCTATTTACAAGGCGCGCTAGACCCTCTACTGCTATATACAAAGGAAAAACCATACCGTTTAGGCCGGATGAAAACCTTTGTCAGAAGTAATAGAAAAGACATGATTCCAGTGATACACGCTGCTGCAAGTAAAGGAAAAAGGCCTTGGGAAGGCCTTGGGCCAACGGCTAGTAGGGTACTAGCCCGGCTAAGCCGTGGCCACGGGTATGGCTAGCCGGGCTCCCTAGCTTCCAGTTCCTCATCAAGGTTCCGAGCGAGCTTGTATTCCCCTAGCCGGCCCGAGTTCATCAGCCAACCCAATACCTTCTTCAGAAGTCTTCGGTTCTGGTAGCCTAGGCCCTATAAAATAAGGCTAAGATCCCGGTGGGTGCGTATTAGTTGTCTAGGCCAGGTTCTTGGTATAGGTGGTATAGAGCACCAAATTATGAGATGCTCCATTGTCTCTCGGGCTTCTCCGCATTCGCAATAGGAGGTAGGCTGGTTACGGGCCTTTTATTTGAAAAGAAAGTCCTGTAGGCCTATAGCTCCTGTACGAGCCTGTACTAGTAGGGAGCTCTTGGCCTTTATAAGGCCTTGGTGTTTCCGTAAGCTCCGGTTCGTAAAGAGGACTGTTGGTAGGCCTTCATTAGCTAGCCTAGTTGGCTGTTCTTGGACTTGGGTCTTCCATCTAGCCTCTCAGGCTCTTAATAGTACCTAGTCATCCTGGGTCTTAGCTAATGGTGGGCCCAAGGCCTTAGCCTCGGCATTCTATTTGGCCACTATAGCCGATGCCTTTTCGGCATCTGTTAGCTTTTCTAGGCTCTAGGGCCGGCCCCGTAGCGACCAGAACCTTCGTTGAAGCTTGTTGCAGGCCCTTTGGATGATTTCCTTTAGTGGGCGTCTTGGGGCCTCTGGGCCTAGCCCGGCCTATAGGGTAGGCTTGTTGAGCCGGTCTTCGAAGTCGGCCAGCCTCTTGTTAAGGTAAAGGTCTAGAGGGGGGATCCAAGTTTCCGTCTCGAGGTTCCGTATAGGGGTAGCCTTATAGGCCCCGGCTACGATACGTAGGCTTCGGTTCTGAGCCTTTGCTAGGTCCCTAGCTAGGCCCTGTGGTGAGCCGTTGAGTGTTGTAGGCTTGTGGAAGCTGGATGCCCCATAGGCTATTACACTGCGAATGCACTTGGTATAGACCTCTCGAGCCCTGATTAGCCCTGGGCCCCAGGTCTTAGCTGCTATCCTTGATAGGGCAAAGTCTTAGGTTCTTAGCTTAGTGGCTATGCTAGCTCCGTGAGCCTTCTAAGAAAGCCTCCAGTCAAGCCGGACCCCTAGGAACCGGGCCGCAGCCGTTGGTTTGACTATAGTATAGTCATGAGAGTGGCTAGATTTGGCTAGTTGTAGTGGTTCAGACCACTGTTTTCGGCCTTTGTTGAAGTGGATCAGCTCTAACTTAGCCCCATTGAATTCCATTCCGTAGGATCTAGCCCACTGTAGGCATGTAGCCCAGGCTTGTTCCAGTTGCCGGCAGTTAATATAGGGGTCCCTTCCAAAAGCTAGGAGGTTGATATCATCTGCAAATCCCACTAAGCTAACCAGAGGGTGCTTTTCCTTTAGTACTTTATATAGCGAGGCTATATATAGTATAAAGAGGACTGGTGATAGTGGTGATCCTTGTGGCACTCCAGCTTGGATGTTAATTTCCGGGGAAAGTTGGCTGTCGAATAAGAGTGTAGCTTTCCGGCTTGTTAGCCACGACTGTAGCTAACCTACAAGCCACTGCGGGAGCTCAAGGTCCCAGACCGTAGCCAGTAACCGGGTATGATTTACCCGGTCGAAGGCCCCTATTAGATCTAACTGCAATAGGGAGGCCGTAGCACGGTATCTCCAGGCCTCTTGGATCTGGGCTACCACAAGCCGTATAGCTAGGTCTGTTGACCTATGTTCTTGGTTGCCCATCTGTTCGTCGGGTAGTAGGCCGTAGACTTCAGCTGCCTCCGTGATTCTTTTGGTAACCACTATTTCTACTACCTTGCTAATGGTAGGAAGGAGAGAAATAGGCCTGTAGCCTCCGGGGGTAAGATAGTCAGCTGGGGTTTTACCAGGCTTTGGAAGCACTATAACTATAGCCTCCTTTAGCCTAGCCGGTACCCATTATAGTTCGAGGCATCTCTGAGTGAGTAGTGCGAGGATCTTATAATATCTATTAATAAATAGAGTAATATAGAAGCCCTAAATTATTACGATATACTTAAGAAAAAAGTAGAGCGCTTAGTTAACGCCGAAAAGAATAGGGAAGCTAAGATCGCCAAACTCTCATTCTCGAGTTACCTTGCATTATATGTGATCCGCGTGTCTACATTACCTTATATAGCCCTTTAATATCTACATTCCAATCAAGCGCACCCCGCCTCCCCCCCAAACATTGCTCTAGGTGTTCGCGATCTCGGCTGGTCTCATCCCACACTGCCGCGCCACAAGTATCCTAACTTGGCTATAACTTGGCTGTAACTTGGCTGTACAAGGCTTGGGGAAAATATGTCGTATTAATGTAAAAGACAGGGGTTATGTAGACCTAAGCGCAATAACCCAGCCGGTCCGATGGCAGACTAAGTATCAGCAAGATACATAAGGCAACGCAAAGTCACAGCATTTTACACACGGAAGAAACACTCATTCGGATTCAGTGCAAGTAGATTAATAGGCTACACACTCATCAACGATTGCTACTCTTGGGCCTCGAAGCAGGTGCCTCCGGAGCGCCGGCTCCCCAGCAAACCAGCCGCGGGAAACCCCTAGCGGCGACGTGGCAACCTGGGAGGCGGACGCGATGACCTCGAGAGCAGGGCCTGTGAGCCGATCCTGGGCAATCTCCGCGGTACCATTTGCGGTAGTTGGTGAAAGCAGTATTCCCTTTCGGATATTCTTCGAGAAAGAGGCAGCTGATAGGGCAGTCAAGCCTTCTCCATGACCCGACTCGCCCGGCAGCAGGCTTGTTGTGCCTTGCCTTGACATGGCTCGAGCGAGAGTGGACCTTGTTTCAGGTGATAAGACCGCAGCCTGTGTTGGCTCGGAGTCTCCCACCTCTCCTGATGACCCGCCTCTGAAGTCGCCAGTTCAAACGCCTTCCATAACGCCCGCCACCGACTTTGGCCTCCTTTTTTGTCCATTGTTCGGTACTATTATTGCTGAAGCATATCCGAGCAAATCGACGATCTAACTTGATAAACCAAGCTGCATCTTCGTGAAATTCATCAAACAGGGGCAGGGATGAACTGGCAACACCGACGCAATGTACCACCATCTGCTTAAGCGCGTTTGACCCCGTGGCATCGGAGACGAAAATGGTTCCGCTAGTTCTCTGCCACTTTCACCGAGCCTGTTGAAGGGCGATCCTCCGTGACATCCTCAATGCGCCTGACGCTGTCGTCCAGACCCGTCCGCCTGCCGGCACCGTCGGTAAGAAGTGGCCGGCCTTGGGCGTCGTACATCCTGGTCTGCGTGACGGGCGGCTCGCCCAGCTTCTGCTTAGTTGTTCGCACGCCAGAGCCGTCGTTGTTCGAGTACGCCTCGTGCTTGTAAGCCCATCCCTTGATCGCGCCGTGTCCGTTGGCGGAAGCGGAGCCTACGACGACGGCCGAGGCGGAGCTAGAGAAGGAGAAGTTGAACGGCATGATCTTGTCCGTTGTGGATGGATACTACTAGGCTTCTTGATGTATGGTATTGGGTTGGAAAGTAAGCCGTGGCTTGCAAGTTGAGACTTTTGGTCTTCGAGATCGGTGGTGACGTCACAAGGTTGTGGAGTCATTCAATACGGAAATATGCTTAGTGTATCCATAACAGCCTCACTTCGAAGCCTATCCGTCCACCGTCCCCTTAAGCAAGGGGAGGAGTGAATCAGCGAGCTATAGGACTTAAGCTTAAGGTAAAATTGTCTATCACTCCTCGCCACCAATACAGGACAGGTTTGGGATGCGGTCTGCTGAGTCTCTCGCCATGGCATGGTAGGTTTACTGCCTTGCGGGAACTTCGAGTTTCGGTGACGGTACTTCAGGATGGTAAGATATTCTTCAGTACGGTAATTTACTATAAGCGTACGGTAAGATCGCCTTAAGTGTGGTAAGATGCCCGTAAGTTTGTACTTGGACGTATGCACGATACACGTGCAGCACTTGTATTGGCTTCTTCGCGGGATAGGTATTGTACTTAGTAGCAATGGAAGGTTGGCGTCACTCGGTGAAGCGGTAGGCAGCGGTGCTTGTCAGACTCGGTTAGGTGCGCGGTTGCGTACTACTGCCTAGGTAACAAGTTGACACCGCGTTATTGTTGAGAGTAGCAGTGAATATGAGTGTGTGCGGCTAGTAGAATCCATCCTGAACGACACAGATCGAGTACACCCTGTCCCCGTAAGGAAGACCGGTAGCGGCGGAACGTCTTTTGGTCTTTGTATCTTTAGTATTACCTCCTTCAGGGCCGAGAGCCACGAGTTGGCATGACTAATGCGCTCGAAGATGGCTTTCTCCCTGTCGACAAGCTTGAGGAGCAAGATATCCATGTCCCCGTCCCAAGGGGACGGGTCGCGTCTGGTGATCTCGGCGTTTTCCTCATGCTTGTAATTCGCGGCCAACATCGCAAGCAGCATGCAAGTTGCACAATCGTCGTAGAAGGTGTCGAGACGAACGTCCACTCTGTGCCACGGCCGCGTGTCAGGCCAAGCGACGTTAATGCCCTCTAAGATAATGTCCCTCTGGTATGGGTGGTTGGGGCCGAGGGTATTGGCGACAAGTTGCAGCTGCCTAAACGGACCACGCAAACAGAGGCACCCGCCTGTTACTGCACTATAAATCACCCGTCTAATACTCAAGATGAGTGAGTACTGGATTATAGGCGGACCCAGCTATACCGGGCCATCTATCGCACCCTAAGACCGGGAATGAGCGCTATAGTTCGGAGATCGTGTTAGGTTTCCGAGGTCGGACCTCTCCACGAACCAACAAAGCTCGCCCTCGAGATGACTCCGCTACGTACTAGCCACGTAGTCGTCCTGCTAGAGGGTACCTACATATTCTACAATGCCGGAGATAGCAATGAGGCTATTGCTAGGGACAGTCAGAAGACAAGCTGTGTACTCTTTAACAAGGAAAGTCCAGGTATATCTGACGTCGGCTAAGAACTTGGATCTTCTCGCGTGCGCCTTTTGTTTAAACACTAGGGACCAAGCTCTTAAAGAGTAGCTGGTACCAGCCTATAAGCATGCTTAGGATATGTTCTAGCCGGGTTTCTATAGCAGCCTACTTAAGATATTCCTAGACTATTATTAAACTAAAAGATATAAGGTAAGAGAAAACACTCTTAGAGAACTTAGGCCTAGGTATTTACAAGTACTCGGGGGACGCTTCTATACTAATAGTTAAGGTTATAGATATAAAATAATCTCGTCTTATCCTTACAATCACTAATTTTTAGTTTAATAAGTTATAGAAGAAAGATAATTTAGTCTCTAGGGCTAAACATCGATTTAAGGCAGCCGTTTATATCACCTACCTAGAAGGTATTAAGATAGACCTTATAAGTATAAATTCACACTGCTAGTCGGTTATATTATCCTTGTCTTATTAGATACAGAGCAAATCGATCTGAAGGTAGCGGATACCTAGCTCGAGCGAGACAAAGATAGCATCTTATATAAGCTAGGGTAGCGATCCTAGTAATACTCCCTCGGCTAGTTAAGGATAGGTGCGCTTTATAAGCCGGAGTTACTCTGTCGGGTCCTGGCGATAGGATAGGGTTGTAAATCACCTAGTCGGGATTACCTTTACCGTTTCTATAAGCGCTACTATTTGCTCCGGACTCGGTTCTATGCTACTATGACTGATACGGCATAAGTTAAGAAGGTGGGTTAGATACCAAGGCCGGTCCCGGAGATAGTATTGTACCTCTTATAGTATCGGACGCAATTGACAACCCACTACTTCGCCAAGTCTAAGGTCTCGGGAGATCGGGTATTGTTAGTAAGCGCGACGGGGTATATGCTAGCGTCTGGTTGTGGTGCTAGTCGGGGCATCGGGATCTGGCATGAAAGGCATCTTACCATCAGTGGACTCAACAATTATAGTAGTAACCCACTGAAAGGCAGGAATGAGGGGCCCAGCCAATAGAGGGCAGCTAACTTTGATCCAAAACCGTCGAGGTAGCCCTTGTGGTCGAACGGTGATTCGTGTGCAGTCGAACTTGGTGCAGCCTTCTTCCAAGGTCGACGAAGTGCTGCCCTTGTGCGGCGAAGAGACTTGCATGACGAAGCTTCTATTTTTGGGGGGTAGCATCTCCCACACGGCAATGCAAAGGCTGCGACGTTGGGCAACGGCCTCCTTCAGACTTCGGTACGTCGGATGGTGTAATCCCGGGCCACTCGTCCGGCTTGTGACTCTGGTCGCCGCGAAGTTGCTGTCCTTCTACGGTGTCGGAACCCGTTGTCTGTGTATCATCATCACTGACAATACATTGCAGCACCTCGCGGCATCGGGCGCAAACCATTTTGAGGTCTGGTGCTAGGATGATCAGACTTCATCAGCGACGAGCCGAAATCACGAATTCGAAACGGCATGTGAGGTAGGTAGGTGGGAGAGAAAGCCCATAACTTACCACTACCTTTTCTAGTATGGAAGGCGATTCTGAGCGTGTAAAGGAGAGACTAGGTACAATACCTAGGGTGAGTTCCCGGCGGTAACTGTTGCAGTATGCAGAGATCACAGGCATGAAGATAGGTAGCTGAATTCGTGATATGTAAGAGAGAGGAATCTAGATATGCCCAGGTAAGCCACTTCTGTGGCTTATAGGGTGGGACGGCTTGAAAGCCACAGTGAACACAAAGACGATAAGGCCTTAGTAGTCCAACAGTAACTTAACTGCTGACTCAGACCTACCTAGTATTACCCACTGTAGGACACACCTAAGGTGTTCACTCGTAGTATAATAATCATCAAGCCCATATTTTCCAAAGCCCAAGATTCACTAACCTCCCACTTGATTAAGGTGGCCGCATTATGTAGCTTGACCTTGTCCATCCCTCGTGAGCAGGACCTCGTCCTTCCCCTTGCTCTCGATTAAGCGGCGGCGATCCCAGAATACATGACCCCATGTCTTCAGAGGGGCAGGAATGATGGGTCCGTAGGCGTTTACATATCTTCCGCGCCAGCCAATGACCCAAGCGAGCGGCGGGCCGTCCTCGGTGTCGCCGGCAAAAACGAGCTTCTCCCTACGAGCTTCGGCGAGATCACCTTCGGAAGCGTAGAGAGCTCGTCTGCTGTGTTGCGTCGCCCAACTCAGGACATGCTCATACGTGTAGCACGGGACCTGGTATCGCTGTATCGTCTTGACCAGCTCCTCGTGGTTGTGGGTTGCCAAGACCTGGGAGAACAGCTGGATCCCCCTCAAGGCAGTGCCTTCCCTCAGTAGCCGGCGGTCAGCTGCTAACGTGCGGTGTTGCTGTCAGTACCGACGGCGCCCGAGGTTGATATTTATCATGATGTTCGGGTTGAATGGGGACCTACCTTCGCACTGGGAGGCATCGAAGACTGCATCGTACTTATTCCGTATCAGGGTGTAGATGCAGTCAATTTCCTCTACCTCCCAGGGGTTAAGGTTGCTAAAGAAGAGGGCCAGTGTCTCGGTAGGGTCAAGCATGGGCATTGCGCGGTATCGTCTAGGTTTGGGCCCCTGACCGAAGAGGTTACAGTAAAGCTGAAAGCGGTACAAGGCCCGTAGAAGACGTGTTTGTTCTGCATCGGACAGACTACCGACCTCGAGGGAAGGATCGAGATGTTGGAGGAAGAGGGCTGCGCACTTCAGCGATAGGGGTCGAGCGACAGACTGGTGGAAGACTGCGATGTCGAGAAGGTCGGCTAGGGTACAGTCTTCGAGCGCCAGTTCGGGCCCCGCGAAGCGCAGCGAAATGTAGCTGTGAAGGAAGTCCCGCATTGCGTCCGGGGCCAGCGGCCGAGGCGGACTATAAAGCGTTGCAGACCTCTGCACGGCGTGGGCATCAACCAGCATGCTGCCGAGGGTGGAAAGGAGCACCCGGCTCAGCACATGTTTCCGATCTAGACGGTATTGCTGGTAAATGACGGGCGACGCGAGGATGAGCGACCTCAAATCATCCAGGTCGCGAATGTAAGCGAGAACCTGGAGTCTTAGTTCAGAGGGCAGTGTTTCTAGCCTACTCGCGGCGGGCGTCAGCTGCGCCGGACTGGCATGTGACGAACCAGGCTGGGCCCGCTGGGACATGTCGATGGAATCGTCGTCAGCGGGAACATCGATATCCACGAAATCTCTAACGGCGGTGGCAGTGCAGGTGTCGGTGGTGATTGCAACGTCGGGTTCGGGCTGCTGTGGACACGGTCGCTGATCGAGGCTGGTTGCAGGTGCTGTACCAACCGTGCCATCACTCTGATGGGCGTGCTTTGAGTTTGCAGCCTTTACTCGCTCACGCAGCCGCGCAAAAAGCCCGAATTTGCTCCATTGGCTCGGCATAGTGATCGGAGTCAATTCAGTGGCGCGATAAACCCGTAATGATGCAGTAGAGACATTAGCTGGAAAAGGGGAAATATACTTCCATGGCACCTAATGATATAGAACTTGGAACACTGCCAACAAGCAAAATCTCCCGCGTTGCACAACTGTAGTTGCTGACTCAGCAGATCCGACCTTACGCTTACACGCACGTTTGCTTGACGAGATCCCGTTCGCGTTCGCGGACCGGGGCCGCCTCTATAATGACTACAAACGGCGTCGGCGACGGAGGTCGGGAAGGCGTCGCCCATTTTACTTCGTTCACACCCATCGATTCCTCTAGAACGCGTCCCGGCATCGCGATGGGGATGTGTTTTCGGCGCCAGGATCCTGTTCCCTATTGGGGATACGAACTAAACTACGTCCGACCTTCGAGGCTCTGTACTAGCCTAGGTCGCTTATACCATCGCGACCTCTCTCCCTCCTTTTCCCCTATACGTTAGAATCCATTTTCTCTTTACTTGCTCGTTATTTTGCCTGCCGCGAACGTACCCTTCGGCTTGATATAACGGTATAATAATCGTCTCGCTTCTTTGAGGTGGATTAGGAGTGTTAATCCTCTCCTTTAGGATTACTTAGTGTCACGAGGTAGCGCAGGAAGAAGCTATTACGCAACCGAGGCAAACTCTCAGACAGTATCTGTAGTAACCTGTCCACGAAGACGCTCATACTCGTCAAGCGCCTCCCTCTCCGACTGGGCCACGTCCTCGTAAAGCTCCCATGTCTCCCTACCACTCTTCCACTTCACAAGCAGTTCTAGGACGCTGTCACCCGCTCTTCTATATGGGTCGACGGTCGCGCACAAGGGGTAGCAGTCATTCCCCTGGCGGATGCGCTCCTGTGCGATCCTCGCCCACGCGGTGACCTCGGCCACAAACAGCCGCTTGAAGAACTTCTTTTTCTCGCGGCAGTAGATCCTGTAAATGAGACGGGGGTCGTGCCAGGGGCTGTATTCCCGCTCAAACATGACGCGGCCCGTGGCGTGGCGTCCGCGTGGAGAGACCTGCCTTGTCGAGAGCGGCTCGTCCAGCTTCCGCAGCCACTTGACGAAGCTGCTTCTTCCGTAGGAAAAGAACACGCCGTAGGAACATGTCAAATTCCATATGTCACGGCTTTGTTTTACGTTCCAGGGATTCAACGTCCCGTGATCGCGAGTGGTGTGGTAGACGTCGTGGTCCTCGAAGGTACGCTTGATGATCAGGCCCAGCTCGCTCTGGTTCGGCCGCTCGCGAGAGTCCCTGACAAGATTAACACAGATGCGAGCCTTGGCCGGAGAGATGACGATGGCAATCCCCGTAAATTAAGACGGCGCCTTGGTTCGAAACCTCCAGGTCGTCGTCGGCGAGAGTCGCTGCGCCGCCCACGTTCTGGGGTGCCGCCTTTTGGATCTCGGACGACCCAGATGTGCGGAAAAATGGGAGATCGGGCTCGAGGTTGCCTTTTCTTGTGAAAGTTGTATCCAGGTACGAATCGGTGCCGGCTGGTTGATGAACTGGATGACCTGCTGTTCCACGTAGCCGCACGCCCTCGAGGTGCAGGCAAGCAGGTTTTGCTCAACGGACGCGCTCTTGAGCAAGGCTATGTTGTCCAATACCGCGCTGTTGGGTTCCGCAGACGGCTTGCTCTTTGCGGCTGCTTTCAACCTGGACTTGGCGACCAGCGTCGAACGCTTGCGCCTCGATTGCGATGAGACAGAGTTCCCGCACCTGGTCCCACGAAGGCAACAGAGAGTAGTTGACATCGTAGACGGTATAAAGCCTCTTGTCTGTGAGATGAAATGGCGCCTTGAGCCGTGAGTGGCCGGTCCACCGCTCTTCGATGGAACTGATCTGGTCGGGCGTGAGGGCAACGGGACGGACGGAGTTGGGCGAAAACTGCCTTATAATCTAGCAGATAAAGGACTCTCGGATGTAGTTACTTGTATAGTCGACGAGTGTATGAACGTTGCCCTGGGTGAGGAAGAGGGCCCGGAATCTGGACTCTATGAGAGCGGCATGATGGACCACTCCAAGAGCAATGACCAGCCACTTGAACGCCGCCCTGGGGATTGCGGTGATCTTGTTCCGGCACCTCGTCGGAATTCTCCCAGTCGGCAACCAGGTCGGGATCGAGTACCACGTCTCTGGACGAGAATATGTCCGTGTCGGTGAAGACTGTGGGAAGGTTTGTGTTGGGCGCCGCTAGGGTCCTCATCTCCCCGATGACGGCCGTCCTGTAGACGTCCCGGGCCCAGTCGGACATGTAATCCACGATTAGAAATAGCTGAAGCGCGACATCGCAGTTAGTGATGCAACCGGTCCATACCGTCACTATGTTCTGCGAGCGAGTTAGCGAGGAATCCGAGTTTCACAGACACACGCAAAACACTCGAAACCCACGGTAGCATGACCAGGGCGGGCCGAAGATTGCGCAGTGCGAGCCGGGCCCTGGTAGGCTAGACAGACTCTCCAATCGTCGCCTTTGCTCATGAAGAACCAAACAAGCGGCCCCGAAGTCCACCTCGATCACTGGGCCGTGGCTAATCGGAGGCTTTGCTGCGTATTGGGGTATGTATAGATCGGGAATGCCATCTGCAGCCGGATCAAGTGCCAGTCATCCGGTGCAATGCCTGACTTGGCTTCGACGATAAGGAATGGAAATAAAAGGGCGTCGCCGAGGTTTAAATGCGGCTGCTTCTGTAGGACGTCATTGAGGAAGCCGCCGCCGGGAAGTCTCTTTAGCATTAGTCCCTCGATGTTCCTTATCTTTTAGAGGCCGTAGATCCGATCAGGTTTCTAGTCTTAGGGCAACTATCGGGCCAAATTAGGCGGGTATATTACTATATCGTCCGACCTATCTATAAATAGCCGGTTTAGGCTAACCCTTTTGTCCTTATAGGCAAGATGTAAATACGTTTAGGGTAGTTATTCAACGCCGAATAGTATATAACCCCTACTTACTTATTAACCCGCTATATTATAATAGGGCAGCGGTAATAGTTAAGGTTTCCTACCTCGTTCGTAGGTTGCTGGCAGCTGGCCTTTAACCATTTAGCGATGCCTTAATCTTAGATCGCCAGCTATGCTTACGGTAACTCTTACTATAAGATATATTAGTTAAGTCGGGCTCGTCTATGAACTATCTAGCTTAGACGATTTCTTACCAAGTAACCTCGGCGGCCAGACGGCAGAAGACGAGCCGGCTTATAAGCTAGTATCCTGGTCGCCTTATTTCTAGATATAAGATCCTTTACTTTATCAATAAGGCGTCTTGTCTAGCGCTTTACCTAGGCGTTTTATAGGGTAGTAGCTATAGTCTTATTATTGTCTATGAGTCGGCTAACTATATATATATTATATTTGAAATCCTTAAGTTTCTTAATCGCTTTAAATATCTTTCGATGCTTGTCGGGCTATTGATTGGAAGGACATTCGTCGGTAAATATAATATTATATTCTTTCTGGAGCCTCTCGAAGATAGGCCGGTTTATTGTCTTAGATGGCGGCTTATTAGAAGAGGATGTACCAGCAATTTAGTAATATTATATATATATATATATGAACATATACGATAATTATATACTGAGGCCAGCTTTAGAGACGGAGAATAAGAAAGAGAAAGAAAGAAAAAGCTAATTTTTCTTCCCCTTAGATAGATATATAGATAAAACGCCAGATATAGCCATAGCTAGGTTACCTTACTAGGTATACTAGCACCTATATACTATGCCCTGTATCTAATTATAGGATTTTCCCTAGCCAACTAGCCCTGGCCAGGACATAAGATATTACGACTTTAATATGCCCTTCGGTCCTATAGGTTATAAGCCTCCTATAGCTTCTGTAATAATACCTCCGTTGAAGAGTTTAAGCAGGCCTAATTCCAACCACTTCAATAGTCCCAAGATCTTAGCATTATATAGTATTGGAAGAATATATAGCGCTACTTCCAGACCCCCTTGCTACCTACTGAAGCCCATTGACTTCAACCACCTAAATTCCACTACTCGAACTAACTATAATACAAGAACCGGTATTACTAGATTCCTTGTCTTTATAGGTGTTATTATAGGTCGCTATAATAGGAACACCCATAACTGCCCTATAGTCAGGGGTACCTGCCTATAGTTAGGAAAGTCTATCTATATAGCAGACTTAGGAAAATAAAAGAATTTTATACTATAGGCTTAGAATACTATATTAGTGTCTTAGAGTGCCGCCTAGAAGACTAAGGTATTGGTATTATAGTCAACTAGAAACCAGCAGCAAGCAACTCACAATATCTTTTCTTTGTCCCTTTTGTGACGAAACCACAGGCAGTCCTGCCTCTGAAAGGGTTCGCCGGTCGAAGGTAACTGCTGGTCGGACTGTAGGTCTCGGTGAAGCCAAAAGGTTCACAACAATGCTTGCCGCAATGTCTGCACAATAGGTATGGGCTATTGCTTGTAATATTGCTCACTGGAGAACTCCCAGAGTCCTCCAGAACGAGTGACTATATACTAGCTATCTTCTTGGGTGCTCAGTACTTCGATTCGATGAGCACCCAGGTGCTCATCGTGATATGCCCCTGATCACTCTGATCGCTTACATCCTGCAGAGTGCTCAGCGGTATTGGCACCTTAGCACCTTTGCCTGTCTCTGACTGGTCCGCCTAGTTGTCCAAATGATTGGCTCGGGACGCCCCCGCGTCCCCACATACGGCCGTCTGCCCTGCAGCCTGCCGTTGGTTAATTCGTGACACGATGCCCCTCCTCTAGGGTCGACGCCCCGACGACCAAGTTCCTGAAATAACCAACAGCCCTGGCTATTCTCCTTGTGTCTCGCCCTAGTAGGTTCTTCCCTCCTGCATCGTCGTCATCATGCCTGACCGTATAGAGAAAAAGAAACGAACGAGTTCTGACCGTCGTCGCGATCAGGTGCGCTTCCTCGCGCGGACCGGTGTTATCATGCCTTCCTGCACTTATTGCCACGAGAAGAAACTGGAGTGCGTTGCTCATGAGCGTTACGAACGTTGCCTTCCTTGCGTCAAGGCAGGTCGTTCCAACTGCGATGTCCATGGCGTAGATTGTGAGTCTGCCGCTTCTCTTTGCTCCCATGCTTGCTGACTTCCGTAGTGCGTCCTTTTATTAAGGAAAAGGAGCGTCTTGATGCCGAGCGTCGGGCCACGATTAGCAAATTACTTCGTTTGGAGCAACAGTCGCGGGCGTTGGAGGAGAGGGCTCGTGCAGCCTTCCGTCGGGAGTCTCGTTTGTTGGACGAGGAGGAGAAGGAGGAGTCGGAGCAGGCTTCCCTGGCCGCTCTGCCTTCGGATGGCACGGCAGCAGCGTCCCTAGGTACTACCGCTTCGCCTTCTTTGTCGGATTTCCTTGCTCCAGGTCCTGCTTCGTCGGATCACTTGGATCCCAACTGGTTGTCGGACGTTCCTATAGACTGGAGTGTTGTTGGGGGAGGTCCCTCGTTTCTGGCTCCACAGGGTTCTGGTGGTGGGAGCCCTCCGGTTTCTCAAGGTAGTGGGGGTTCGTAGCTGGTGGTGGTCGGGTCTTGGTCGCGCCTGCCGTGCGTGTCGTGTTGTAGCGTGGCTGCCTGCAGCCGCTCTTTCCTGCCTGGGGTTCTCAATCTGATTCTTGTTGCCTGTTTCCCGACAAATGAAATGGCTCAGTGGTGTAGCTTGGTTATCACACCCGAGTGATTGCTCTGGGAGACCATGGGTTCAAATCCCATCTGTGCTACTGCTGGCTGTGGTATGGGATGACGTCGTGCAAGTCGTCACCCAGAACACGGTCAGCTTTTGCGTTTTTCCTCCTTCCTGGGCGGTCTGGGTTCCTTCGGTGGAATTCTCTTAGTTTTTCTGCGCAGCTGAGGTGTTCTGCTGGTTCCCATGAGTTGTCTTCTGGCCCGAAGTCGAGCCATTTGATCAAGTATTCTAGCCTTCCGTTGGCTATTCGTGAATCCAAGATTTCCTCAACGTCCCATTCTTCTTCTTCGTCCTCGGCTTCGATGTCCTTTGCAACCCGTGCGTTCCTGGGTGCTGGTTCGAGGAGCGAGATATGGAAGACGTTGGTGCGTAGCTTCATCGTTGATGGTAGCGAAAGTCGATAGTTGGATCTCGAGATTCTTGCGTCGATTTTGAATGGTCCAATCTTTCTGAAGTCGAGCTTCTGGCTTGGCCGTTTCGTTCTCAAATTCCGGGAAATGAGGTAGACCATGTCTCCTCTCTCAAGGCGAGGTCCCTCGAGCCGATGTTTGTCGTAGTACTCCTTCATCCTGAGTCTGACGAACTCGAGTTCTTCTTTTAGCATTGCATGCAGTGCATGCATCTTCTCCGCCTTGATTTTTGCCCTGGGTACCGTGACATCTGGTCCCTGGCGTAAATCTGCTTCGTAACCAAAGTTCGCGAAGAACGGAGTGACCTTTGTTGTCTCCGTTGGCGTTGTATTGTATGCAAGCTGTGCCGCTGGCAATAGATCAACCCAGTCGTCTTGCTGGAAGTTGACGAACGTCCTGAGATATTGTTCGACGATCTGGTTGAGCCTTTCTGTCTGGCCATCTGTCTGCGGGTGGTATGCTGTTGAAAGCTTGCTTTTCGTGCCCAAACGCTTCATAAGCGCTTGCCAGAACTTTGATGCGAATTTGGTGTCTCGGTCTGTGATCCATTCTTCCGGCCACCCATGAACTGCTGCGATGTGCCGATAGATCGTATCCGCAAGTTGCTCTGCTGACCATGATTCTTTGTATGGGAAGAAGTAGCTCCACTTGGTGAGTCGATCAACCACAGTGAGGATGCTGTCATACTTCGTTCCGGTAGTCGAGTCTTTCGAAAGCGGTAGTTTGGTGATAAAGTCCATCGTCACCGAACTCCATGGTCGTTCTGCAACTGGCAATGGTTCCAAGAACCCGTATGGTTTGTGCCGTGCCGACTTGCTTCTATTGCAGAGGTCGCATTCCTGCACAACAGTCTTGACTCTGGTCCTGAGTCCTGGGAAGTCGTAGTGTTGCCGAACCTTGGCGACTGTTTTGGCGATTCCCATGTGTCCTCCGAGTTTTGACTCGTGGATTGTCCTGATTAATTCCGTTTGATCCTGTGGTGCGACGTAGGCCTTGCCGTTGTACCATAACGCTCCATCTCTCCAAGAGATGCCTGCCTTCTCGTCTGCATCGTTCTGCTTCCGGTCTTGGAAGTCTTTTCCTAGCCGTTCTTCCCTGAAGACTGCGCAGCATTCTTCAAACGGTTGCAGAGGTTGTGTGCCGGGATCTTCGTCCTGTCGTGGAAGCGTGTCGTCATCGAGATCTTCCATCGGTTGGGGAGCGTGCCGTAGGGAACCGTCTGGCTGTTGTTGAAGTAATGGTGGCGAGGCTTCTGGTTGGCTGTTCCTGAAGTGATCTGGCCTCCTGCTCAACGCATCTGCCCGTGCGTTTTCCGAGCCTTTTTTGTAATTGATTTTGAAGTTGAACTCTGAAAGGAATTCTGCCCATCGAGTCTGTCGTCCGTT